GTCTAAGAGTTGTTGCACCAATTTGCAGTCCCACCAGCAGTGTATGAGAGTACCTTTTCCCCTACATCCTTACCTAAGCATTGCCTTAATAACTGTATTTTGTTGAATTAGAAACCATAATTTAAACTTTTTTTGTACAATCAAATAGTTTGCTTCTGATTATGTGTTACTAAGAAGAGTGCTAAGCCAACTTTATACTTGAAGGCTTTCTAAATTTTGGAGTAGTTCCCAAATTCCCTGTATTTGACTTTTACTGGTTCAAACTGTAAGCCCTTAAGGATTTCATGTATTGTTTCCAAAGGTACCATGTACTGTTACTAGTAATGTTGTAAAATCCTGTTTCTGTTTGTACATGTATTAGAATTATTATTTTTTTCAGTACTGGGGATTAAACCCAGAGGCACTCTATCTCTGAGCTGCTCCTCCCTCCCCAACCCCCACCTTTTTTTCTAAATTTTGAGGCAGAATCTCACTAAATTGCCCAGGCTGGCTTCGAACTTGGAATCCTTGTGCCTGGGCCTCCCAAGGGCCACCCTTGCACCCGGCTAGAATTACTCTTTAAAAAGGTCTTCACTATTGATAGGCCAAAAAAAAAAAAAAATCTCTTTAGTATTTTAAAATATTTCTCCCTGATTATAAAATTAGTATCTGTTGAAAAAAATTATAGAAACTAAAAATGCATAAGAAAATGTCCTCAAACTCATGGTCCAAACCTAATTGTTATAATGTTTTAGTGTAACGCCTCCTATTGTTTTCTCGGTATACTGATGTATATGAACTTGTGATTTATAGTTATGTTGTTTACTAGTTTGCATTTTCATCTAATAGAAAGGTCTCTAATTTGTAGTCTTTGATGATTTTCTTTTTAATTTTTTTTCCATTTAAAAAATAATTTTAATGGATTATATATTTGTGTAGTATCAAGTTGAAAAGGTATGGGAGGTTATATAGTTTAAAACAAAAACAAAAATAAACCTTCTAGGACTGGGGTTGTGGTTTATGTTGTGGTACAACAGCACCACATAAAAATAAATGAGTAAAATAAAGTAATTGTGTCCTATCTACAACTGAAAAACAAAACAAAACACGCCTTCCTTTTACTCCTCTTTCCTAACTACCCCTTTCCTCTCCATCAGCATGTGAGACAAGTGCTGTACCACTGACATATATCCCCTATCTTCCCCTCAGCCCCACTTTTTTTTTAACTAGGGTCTCACTAAGTTGCCCAGGCTGGCCTGGAACTTGTAATGCTCCTACCTCAGCGTCTTCAGTAGCTGGGATTACAGACATGGACTGTATTCTGCCAGATGTCTCTGAATTAAGCAAATATATATAGAGAGTTTTGTTTTGGAGTTTTTTTTAATTGTTTGTTTTTCTTTTAAAAATGTATTATACAAAGCTGGAGAGAAGAAGGAGGATGGGAGGGAAAGGGGGGGGGATCATACCTGAAATCAGTTTTTATGCATGTATGAATTTGTTGAGATGAACGCAGTTACTGTGTATAATTATAAAGCTCTAATAATAAAAAATAATAAAAATTTTAGAAAACTAAAAAGATTAGATTTGGGCTGGGGATATAGATCCATTGGTACAGTGCTTGCCTCTCATGTACAAGACCCGGGGTTCAATCCTCAGCACCACCAAAAAAAAAAAAAAAGATTTGCTGCAGGGAGGAGGAAAAATAAGAAATCATTGAAAAGAATATTGATTGGCTGGGGTTGTGGCTCTCGGTGGTAGAGTGCTCGCCTACCATGTATGAGGCCCTGGGTTCCATCCTCAGCATCACATAAAAATAAATAAATAAAATAAAGGTATTATGTCCAACTATAACTAAAAAAAATATTTTTTTAAAAAAAGAAAGGAATATTGATGTTTATTAAGGAATAATTATCATGTGCATGACCTGTAAGTAAATGGCTACAAACCCAACTGTGATGCATAGTTCTAATTGGCCCCAACACACTGAATTTTATTCAAATGGAGGTGGATTCTGAGATAACACTTTAAGAAACAGTGTTTAAAATATTAGGAAAGAAAGAAGACATTGGTATTCAATTTTTCTATTTTGTTTGCATGTAATTCTTGGTCACTCATAGTCTTTATTGAGTGTGAAGCACTAAAAAGACTAAATAATAAACTTGAACTCATTTAAAAAAATAAATAAAAATATACAAAAAACAGCCAGATATGGTGGTGCACGCCTATAATCATAGCAACTCAAAAGTCTGTGTAAGGCAATGGAAAGTTTGAAGCCAGCCTTAGCATTTTAGCAGGACTATCTATAAGGGGGTGGTTTGGGATGTGCTTGGGGATGTAGCTCAGTGGTAGAGCACCCCTGAATTCAGTCTTCAGTGCTGCAAAATAAGTAAATAAAATAAAAATATGCCAGGAACACAAATTATGCACATATTTGTTCCCTAGCTTGTACCACCCTCTTTTTAATATCTTGGATTAGCAGTATAGCTATCTTCACTCTTTTATAGCTCTGTACATTGTATGGGATATACTACAGTTTGTGTAACCTGTACATGTACATTGTATACAAATGTTTGAATATACTAAGATTTCTGTGACTGTCCTTCCTTGATGGCCAGTTAGACTTACAGCCTTTTACTGTTGCAAATCATGGTGCATTGAATAACTTGTACATACTCTATTTTGCAAATGTGTAAGAATATACATCAAAAAAATTCCTACAAATTTTTAGAAGTGGTATTACTGAGTCAAAGTTGATATGTTGTTAAATTGGCAAAGGATTGTATTAATCTACCCGTTCACTAGCAGGAACAATCTATGAGACAGTATTTTTTATTTTTGTCACTCCAATAAGTGAAAAATGTCTTTGTGATTTTAATATGTAAGAATATGATTTCTTAAGTCAGTCCCCCAAATCCAAAGGCCAAATATTCTCCCTGATATGCAGATGCTAATTTACAATAAATGGTATGTGGGGGGTAGGGAAGATAGAAGTTCACTGGATTAGACAAAGGGGAATGGAGGGGAGGGACAGGGGATGGGAATAGGAGAGACAGTAGAATTAATCAGATGTAACTTTCCTATATTCTTATATGAATATATAGCCAGTGTAACTTCACAACATAACCACAAAAACTAGAAGTTATACTCCATGTATGTATGCTATGTCAAAATACATTCTACTGTCATGTATAACTAAAAAGAAGAAATTAAAACATTTGAAAGAATAAGATTTCTACTGGCTAGATGATATTTTGCTTCATGAGCATATCATTTATTTTAGTAATTCCTGTTACTGGACTTTTTTTTTTTTTTTTTTTTTACTATTATAGGAAATTGTGTAGTGACAACTCCTGTATGTAGTTTTTAAGCTTAAAATCCCAACCATGTTAGTTTTTAAATTTTTCATTTAGTATTTAGCAGACTTCTTTTTTCTGTGTTATTAAAAAACACTTGTGTGTTCAGAGGTAGTCCATCAGATGAACTACTTTACTTAACTGTTATGTTAGACATTTTAGTTTTTTTCTAATTATTCATTATTATAAAAAATATATCAAAGACTTTGATTTAAAATTGTTATCTATATTCATTGTTTCTAGTTTATCATACCACATTGAAGGTCCCTTTTATTATAATTATTTCACTTTTTGCAAATTATCTGTTTATCCCATTAAGTGGCCTTTGTGCTTATTGTTTGGTATGTGGACACCATCGGTAGTGGTTCTTGAAGTTGGGGGGCAGAAGGACAGTGAGGTTTTTTGGTTGTCATAGTGACTGATACTTAATAGTCAGGGCCAGGGTTGCTTAATGTTCTGTACTGCATTGAGTAGGACAGCCCTCTCAAAGTATTGTCCTACTGGCACCATTTCTATGCATATGCATTGTTCTACTGTTAAAAAATCAATACATTGATTTGTTGAAAATATTTTTTCTAATTTCCTCAAGACAAATAGGAATAATATTTTTTCCATGAGTTCAAGTCTTTTTTAAATTTTTAAAAAATTTTAATTTGTTATATATGACAAACAGAATGCATTACAATTCATATTACACATGTAGAGCAGAGTTCAAGTCTTTTTTTTTTTTAATATTTTTATTTTTTAGTTCTCTGCGGACACAACATCTTTGTATGTGGTACGGAGGATCGAACCCGGGCCGCACGCATGCCAGACCAGTGCGCTACCGCTTGAGCCACATCCCCAGCCCCGAGTTCAAGTCTTTATCTCCATTATTTACTTCATTTTTAGTAAATCTAAAATTTATTTGATATTCAGTGATTAGGAAATATTCACATGTATTTTGCTTAATTTCCACTTGGGGGTGTGGCACACAATTTTGTGAAAAAGATTGTTTCCTAAGATCGTCTAATCTTAAGTCTTTTTAAAAATATTGTATTTATTTATTTGTAGTACTGGGAACTGAATCCTGAGGTGCTCTACCACTGATCTATATCCTGAGCCATTTTACTTTTTGTTTTGAGACTGTTTTTGGGTTTTTTTTTGTCCTAATAAGTAATCTAACTGATCTCAGACTTGAGATTCTCCTGTCTCTGCCTACTGAGTAGTTGGGACTGCAGGTATGTGCCACTGTGCTCGGCTTAGATTAAATCCCTTTGTTTTTATGCAGTACTGGAGATTGAATTCAGAGGCACTGTACTACTGAGCAACTTCACGAGCCCTTTTTATGTCTTATTTTGTGACAAGGTCTTGCTTAATTGCATAGACTTACCTCAAAATTGATGTCTTCCTTCCTTAGCCCCCCCAGTTGCTAGTATTATAGTCATGTGACACCATGCCTGGCTCAGTTTAGGCTTAGACAAATCTTAAACAGCAATAACAATCATGAAAGTGAGACACTTAAAAAATATTAAGCTCTCTTTTTTTGTTGTTTTCTTTTTTGTTTGTTTGTTTGTTTTGGTTCTAATTAGTTACACATGACAGTAGAATGCAGTTTGACATATTGTACTCAAATGGAGCCCAATAAGTTAAGCTCTTTTTTTTTTTAACTATTATTTTTCTGTTTAGAGACAGGGTCTCACTGAGTTGCTTAGCCTCTCGCTGTTGTTGATGCTGGCTTTTTGAACTTGTGATCCTCCTCCCTCCGCCTCCTGAGCCACTGGGATTACAGGTGTGTGCTACCACGTCTGGGAAGTTAAACTCTTTTGAAGAGTTTCTTTTATAAGTGTTTTACACAACCTGAGATATGGAAAAAAAATAAATAAAAAACTCATCTATAACCCATTTAGTTAGGGATAGAATCTTTTTTTCCCCACTCTTCTTCATTATTATTGTTTGTTTGTTTGTTTGTTACCAGGGGTTGAACCCAGGGCACTTTACCACTGAGCCAGATCCCCAGTCTTTTGTTTTGTTTTGTTTTAATTTTTGAGACAGGATCTCACTAAGTTTCTGAAGCTGTTTTTGCACTTGTGATCCTTCTGCCTCGGCCTCCTGAGCTGCTGGAATTACAGATAGAGATAATATCTTAATGTTTTCATATATTTTCTACTATTTTTGTCTTATTAATTTTAAGTTGGTGAACTAACAATTGAACCTATTCTCATTGCAAAATTTGAAACATACAATTAGAGCTAAAGATGCCATTGACTTCTGTCCCTAATCCTGATATCGTTTGAAGAAATGCTATTAGCAGTTTTTATATGTATTCTTGAGACCTTTATCTGTAGAAGTAGGATATTTTATAGTGCTAAAAAAAGTACTTCTGTGCATCTTTTTTTGAAGGGATTGTTAGGGTCTTGGGTAGGTTTCTTGGGTTATCTAAATAAGACTGTTTTTTGATCAAATAGGCTTCACTTATGATACGCAAACATCTGGTATCACTGGGCTGCATCCCAGCCCTGGATTAAGTATATACAACTTTTTCTTTCTTTCTTCCTTCCTTTCTGTTTTTCTATCTTTCTTTCTTTTGGTACTAGGTATTGTACCCAGATCACTCTACTACTGCACTACATATCCTGCCTTTTTAATATTTTTTATTTGAGAGAGAATCTAAGTTGTCCAGATTTCCAAGTAGCTGGGATTATAGGTGTGCACCACTATATCTGGCTGTTACATACCACTTTTGAACTGCCAAATAGTTTTTAAATAACATGTACATATCATCATTTATTCAGCTATTCTCCCATTATGATATATTTGGGGAGTTTCCATTTTAATTGTTTTAATGTTGGACCCTTACTGTCCTTATCCTCTCACATTTATTCATTCATTTGATAAATAGCGATTACTTGCCATGTGCTCAGCACTGTTTGCAGCACTAGGGGGTGAAGAGGGGACTAAGACTTAAAGTCTGTCATGTCATAGAACTTATATTCTTATGAGAAGAGATTGATATAAAAACTTGAATTTAGGGGCTGGGGTTGTGGCTCAGTGGCAGAGCGCTTGCCTTACACATATGAGGCACTGGGTTCAATCCTCAGCACCACATAAAAATAAATAAACAAAATAAAGATTTTTTAAAAACTTGAATTTATAATAAAGTGCCAGTTAACTGGGGTGGGTGGGGAGAATAAAGCAGAAGAAAAGGGTGTTACTGTTTTGGATAGAATAGTCAGGATGGCCTTTATGAAGAGAAGGTGCTACCCGAGCAGTAACCTAAATGAGGGAATGAGCCATGTGAAAATTTGGAGTAAGCTTGTTCCACATAGAGGGAATAGTAAATAAAGGAAAAGACAAGGAAATAGGTCGTGGGATAGTTGAAGAACAGCAGGAGTACCAGTGTGACTGAAGTAATGTTGAAGAAAGTGGTAGGGGGTAAAGTTGTATAGGTCAATAGGAGATAAAATATTTAGACTATGTAATTGTAATACATTAACCATGAGCTACTTGTGGTTACAGAGCATTTGAAATGTGGCTAGCTTGAATTGAGATACACTGAGAGTATAAAATATACACTGGATTTTTAAGACTTGGTACAAAAAAGAATGTAAAATATCTTAATTACATATTTGTGTCAGTTATATATTGATAATATTTTGGATACACTGAGTTAAAATAAAATACATTACAGAATTTAACCAGTTTTTACTTTTCAAAATGTGGTATCTAAAATAATTTAAAACTACATATGTGGTTCATATTTCTGTTGGGCAGTACTGTTTAGAGCCTTAAAGTCCATGGAAAACATTTTAATTAAGTGTGATTGTAAGACATTAGAGTTTTAAAAGACATGATAAATTTTATGTATATATGCATTTATTAATTACTTTGGTTGAACCAGGCATGCTTTATCACTGAGCTACATTTCCAGACTTTTTTTTTTTTTTTTTGAGTCAGGATCTTGCTAAATTGCTTAGGGTCTTACTAAGTTGCTGAGCCTGAAACTTTCTATCCTCCTGCTTCAGTCTCCTGAGTCTCTTGGATTACAGGAGTGTACTGTCATGCCTACCTTACTTATTTGATTCCAATCCTGGGAATAAAACCCAATGGCACTCTACCACTAATCTACATGCTCAGCTCTTTTTACTGTTTTGTTTTTTTTTTAAACATGGGCTCAAATTAGTGGGCTCATTAATTTGCTGAGGCTGACCTCAAACTTGGGATCTTCCCACCTCAGCCTCCTGAGCATCTGTGATTACAGGTATGGGCCACCATATCTGGCTAAGATTTATGATTTGAAATAATCATTTCATTTTGGTTATTCTGTGGATAATAGTACAGGACTAAAAATAAAAAAACAGAAACTAGGTGGGAGGATGTTGCAATAGTCCAGATAAGGAAGGACTATATTTGTAAAGATAGACTATTTAGGATAATTTTTTTTTTTTTTTTAAAGATAGAGTGAGAGAGGGAGGGGGGGAGAGAGAGAGAGAATTTTTAATATTTATTTTTTAGTTTTCGGCGGACACAACATCTTTGTTTTGTATGTGGTGCTGAGGATCGAACCCGGGCCGCACGCATGCCAGGAGAGCACGCTACCGCTTGAGCCACATCCCCAGCCCCTAGGATAATTTTTAAAGCATTCTTTTTTAAAAAAAATCTCATTTTATTATTTATTTATTTATTTGTTTGTTTATATGTGGTGCTGAGGATCGAACACAGTGCCTCACATGTACTAGGCAAGTGCTCTATCACTGAGCCACAAACCCAGCCCCTATTTAGCATAGTTTTTGAAGTTAGAGCCATCTATTTTTAAATGGTTTGGAAAATGAGGTGTGAGGGAGAGTGAAACCAAAGATGACTACCAAGTTTTCAGACTTAACATCTGGGACAGGAATAATGTTTACTGTCTATTTGAGGGAATGAGGGTAGGAGGAGAATAAAGAGTTTTGTTTTAGATATATTGATTATTTTTAACAAAATAAGCTTTTTATTGAAATATGACAGTATACTGAAAAGTACAGAAATTCCTGCACATAGCTCAACGTTTTTCACAAGTAAACTTGCCTGTACACAGTGTTCATTCAGATCAAGGAACAGAATAAATCACTATCCTAGTAGCCCCAACCTATTCAAACTCCATAAATTAGTGGTGATAGTCATTCCATTTTTCAAGTCCCACAAATATAAGATTGTTTACATTGTATCTAGGAATTGAGAAACTTAATCATCAAAGATTTTGTCTGAAAGGTTATGGGCAAATGGGGTTCTTTTTTTCAGCTTTAATCATTTTTGCCTCGTTTTCAAATTTGGAGTTTGTTTTTAAGAATATACTATTATAAGGTATTAAGAGTAATAGTAAGAAGTTTGGCATGTTTTTGGCAGTACTGTACCTAAACACATATGAATAGAAATCACCACCTGTGACATTGTAATTTAAAAAAAAAAAAAAAAAGCTATAGAAGTTTCTTTGGAGGAAAATAGTATAAAAAATTCTATTTCTGGCTCTTCATCCCCAAACTAGAAAATTTAAGAAGGCCTACAAAAATTGTTTAGAAGATAAAATGTAATTGGATACTGCCATTAAGTAGTAATTTAATGTTTTTCTATAAGATAGGATAGTTTCCTCATATTTGTGGAGTCATAGTTATTCTCAATTCCAAATATACAGCAAGCAAAATACTATATACATAAAGACATACTGCAACAAATTTAGCAGGACACTATAAAGTTGCTAGGTTTTGTTGTTGTTGTTTTGGTACCGGGGATTGAATTCAGGGGCACTTCGTCTCTAAGCCACATCCCCAGCTACTTAGAGACAGAGCCTCACTTTTGCTGAGACTGGCTTTAAATCGCGATCCTCCTGCCTCAGCCTCCTGAGCCGCTGGGATTGCAGGCATGTGCCACCACGCCTGGTTAGGTTTTTTTGGTTTTGTTTTTAAAGAAAATTCGTGTCTGGGGCTGGGGATGTGGCTCAAGCGGTAGCACGCTCGCCTGGCATGCGTGCGGCCCCGGTTCGATCCTCAGCACCACATACAGACGGGGATGTTGTGTCCGCGGAAAACTAAAAAATAAATATTAAAAAAATTTCTCTCTCTCTCTCTCTCTCTCTCTCTCTCTCTCTCTCTTTCTCTCTCTCTTTAAAAATAAAAAAGAAAAGAAAATTCGTGTCTGTAGAATTCTGGAGGATTTGAAAGATATCTTTTTGTTTCCTTTGTTTTATTTAAAACAATACCACTATCCATTATATCTGTTAGAATTTTGAGATGGAGAAAGTTAGGAGAAAATGATATTCTTCCATGCAGTAATTCCAAAGTGAATATACCAATACTTTGACTGAATTCAAATGCAACATAATCTTTTATATAATTTAATCCCTAATTCACATTAACAACACTAAACAAATAGGTTAATACATATAATTTGCATTTTTGTCATTGTTGGTAATTTGGACAAAGAGGTTATCATCCCTCACTTTTCCATTGCTTTTGTTGAATGCTCTGACTTGTGGTTTATGTAAAATTGATAAGGGTTAGTATGTGAACCTACACAAATGATGAAATTGTGTAGAACTAAATGTAATTAAAACTAGGCACATGTTAGTAAGATAGATGATAGGTAGGTTATATCAGCCTCAGTTTTACTATGATATAAAGATTTTGCAAAATGTTCTCATTAGGAGTATATTAAGCAACTTTGCATTACTGTAATTAAATACCTGAGATAATTAATTTGTAAAGGGAAAAGGCTTATTTTGGCTCATGGTTTTAGAGGGTCCAGTCCAAGACAGGGCACGAATTACTTTAGGCCTGTGATAAGACATGGCATAAGTACAAGTGGTAGAACAGAAGTGCTTATACCCATCAACCAGGAAGCAAAGAGAAAAAGACAAGAGGCTGGAGTCTCACAATCCCCTTCCACTAGGCCTTATTTCCTAAATGCTTCATTACCTGCCAGCAGCACCACCCTGGGACCAAATCTTTAATAATACATGCGCTTTTGGGGAATGTTTATCTAGACTACACCAGGGTGCAACTGTGTGAAGTTTATATTGGATCTGTTATTTCCTTTAACTGCATGTGAATCTACAGTTGTCTCAGTAAAAACTTCAATTAAGAGAGTGGGATATAGCTCAGCAAAAGAGCACATGGTTAACATGAGCAAGATCTTAGGTTCAGTTCATAGCTGGCAGGGTGGGGGGGGTGGCCCAGGGGATACACAGGATAAAGCCTATAAATCTTTTAGAGTTTCCCTGGGCCTAAAATATAGTGTACTATTTGCTGAGCCACCAGCTTAGTTTAGATATACTCATTTTCATAAAAGCATATACATTTTAGTTAGTCGCTTCTGAAAGTTGAAAATGTCATTTTTATAGTCAGTTTGTATACTATTTAACTTATTGGCTTTGTTTCATCTGTTCTTCACCTTAAACTCTCTACCCCCATCAGATATTACATTCAAAATTTCAAGTTTTAAAAATAAGGGCCTTACCAGAAAAAAAGTTCTATTAAAAATAAGTATCTGCTATGTAGATAAACCTGTTACACAGTATAATCCTCATTGGTATGTTTATAATAGCACATCAGGAAAGGCAATTGCTCATGATTAAATCTGACCTCGCCAGGCACCGTTTCTCACGCCTGTAATCCCAGCAGCTCAGGAGTCTGAGACAGGGGGATTGAGAGTGCAAAGCCAGCCTCAGCAAAAGTGATGAGCTGAGCAACTCATTGAGACCCAGTCTCTAAATAAAACACAAAATAGGGCTGGGGATGTGGCTCAGTGGTCAAGTGGCCCTGAGTTCAATCCCAAGTACCAAAAAAAAAAAAAAAAGTAGCCTCGTGTAATGAGTAAAACTTATTGTTGTGCTTTTACTTAGCATTTATATCTACCATATATTACTATTATTAAAATACTCTACCTTGTTCAGTGTGGTGGCTCACAGATGTAATCCCAACGACTTGGGGTGCTGAGGCATAAAGATTGTAAGTTCAAGGCCAGTCTCAGCAACTTATTGAGGCCCTAGCAACTTAGAGAGATCCTGTCTCAAAATAAAAAGGGCTTAGGATGTTGCTCAGTGGTTAAGCAACTGAGTTCAATCCCCAGTACCTAAACAAAAATTCTACTTTGTTCTTTATAGATGATTTATTTTTGATGGTATTTAGAATTCCTCCTACCACCAGTACTTGCAGCTCCACTATTGAGCATATATATCCCCAGCCACTTTTATTTCTTATTAAGTCTCATGTTTTAATCAGAACTCTCATTTTTGCTTTCTAGGAGCAAAGAATTGAATCAATTGCCCTTGTTGGTGTTCTTTTTTCAATTTAAAGGTAATCTGCCTGTCAGTTCAGTTGTCGTACAAACTTAATACAATTTTCTGTTTGTGCTGGCAATCTTATATTTGGTTGATAAAATAAAAATTTGATTGTATGATAATGGCTAAGCCTTATCTTTGAAGTCTTTTCTATTCTCACAAAACACAATCTAATCTCTGAGAGCATTAATAATCCATATGATTTACCTCATGGAAATACATATAAAAATAATTTAATTCATATTTCTGGTTTTTGCTCCATGGAATTATTTTGTCAGTTACTCAGGAAAAATCTTTTCTATTTTAGTCTGCATTGGAACAATGGGAATAAAAGTTCAGCGTCCTCGTTGTTTTTTTGACATCGCCATTAACAATCAACCTGGTAAGAATATTAATGTTCCTAGTTATTTAAAAATTAGTATTTAATACTTTAAATTAGTAAAGAAGTTTAAACCAAATACTTTCTTTTTCAGCTGGAAGAGTTGTTTTTGAATTATTTTCTGATGTGTGTCCCAAAACATGTGAGAACTTTCGGTGTCTTTGTACAGGTTTGTTCACATTTTCGGTTGCCCTAATAATTCTTAGAAATATTAGTTATAGTACATTTTATTTGAGATTGATTTTTGCACTTGCCCGAAAAATGTGGATGTGGATGGCTTTTTAAAATGATAAATGCTTTTTTTTGTTGTTTTTTTTTTCCTGGAAGGAAGTGAAAGTTCTGTAGTTTAAAGAAATCTATACAAGAGTAGTTATATTTTACAGGGCAAAAGCTTTCATAAGTAATTTTGCTTTAATACTACTTCCTTGATTTTTGTGTTTACTAGGTATCCTGCTAATTTTTCTTCTCTACTACAGGTGAAAAGGGGACAGGGAAATCAACTCAGAAGCCATTGCATTATAAGAGTTGTCTCTTCCACAGAGTTGTCAAGGATTTTATGGTTCAGGGTGGTGACTTCAGTGAAGGTGAGACCTTGATTCCCACAGAAGAAAACCACATATTTATAATCATTGTATGTCATTGATCTTAATGTTAGACAAATCCTTAGAAGTCTAAGTCTGACTTTATTCTCATTCCAATTAGTCTTGGTCAAATTGTAGAAGTACTCATAGAATGGCATGAAAGAAGAAAACACATAGGAAATAGTTTCCCTTTTTTTTTTTTTTTCTGTAGTTGGGTTTTAATCTGAGGACTCATGCTTGCTGAGCAAAAGCTTTACCACTGAACTACACTCTAGTCCTTTTTATTTTATTTTTCAGACAGGATCTTGATAAATTGCCTGTATTAGCCTCAGACTTGAAATTCCCCTGCTCCAGACTTCTGAGTAGTTGGGATTAGACATATAACAACTGTATTCATCTCTAAATCTGTTGGCTGTTTTTGATTTTGGAATTCTTACTACAGTTTGGTTTTTTTGTTTGTTTGTTTTTGTTTTTCATGATATCAGGGATTTCAGAAACCTGGGGCACTTTACCACTGAGCAGTATCCTTGGCCCTTTTTATTTTTTGAGACAAATCTCATATTTTGCTTAGGGGCTTGCTGAATTGCTGAGACTGGCCTTGAACTTGAGATCCTCCTTCCTCAGCCTCCTGAGTCACAGGAATACAGGCATGCACCACCACACCCAGCTTAAAACTATTTCTAAAGACACTTTGAAAAAAAAATGTTATTAATTCTTGTTGAAGAAACTGTGTAGTCATCATTAGAATCTGAAAACTGTTTTTTCCAAGAATCTTAATATGCTTTATCACATTCTTATTACAGCATCATAAGTGAAAGAAGGTAAATTGGGATCTTGTCATTGCTGATGTAAAGTTAATATCTTATAACTTGCTATTGATCCTTTGATTCAAAAATCATTCACACACTACTTTGTAGGAAGTATGTTGGTTTAGGTAGCAACTTCAAAGAGTTCACTGTCTTGAGAATTCTGAGTCTATTTTTCATTTGTAGGAAATGGACGAGGAGGGGAATCTATTTATGGAGGATTTTTTGAAGGTAAAAATGTTTACATTTTATTCATTTGGTTATTGATTCAACTAGATTATTCATTATAATATACATGTATACTAATATACAACTATCTTCAACTAATCTGATGGTTAATTTTCTTTGGGGGGGGGGGGGCATGTACTTAGGTTTGAACTTGGGCGCTTTACCACTGAGCCACATCCCCAGCCCTATTTTGTATTTTATTTAGAGACAGGGTCTCACTGAGGTTCCTTCGTGCCTTGCTTTTGCTGAGGCTGGCTTTGAACTCACATTCCTGTCCTAGCCTCCCTAACTACCGGCATTAGAGGCATGCACCACCGTGCCCGGCTTAAAAATCCTTTTGATACTATGAGATTTGGCTAGTTTTCCCACAAATTATGTTTTCTGTCTTTTTTATTGATGTAAAAATCACTTGGAAAACTATAAGCATATGAGTGTTGAACTTAATTTAATAGCTTTCATCTTTACTTTTTGTATTCAGGTGAAATTTTATTTCAGATTTCATATGCCTTTTTCTTATATCCTTATTATATACTTATAATGTAACTGAAAACTTTACTTCTTTATAGATGAAAGTTTTGCTGTTAAACACAACAAAGAATTTCTCTTATCAATGGCCAACAGAGGGAAAGATACAAATGGTTCACAATTCTTCATGTAAGTATTTATAATTTGATGGTTTAACATATCCCATTTTCTGTTCTCTCTCGATGTGCCTTCCATTAGTTACTAATAAATCAGAGAGAAGCCTATAAAGGCAGGGAATTGTTTAATGAGGAAGAACAAAGAATTATTGAACAGGGGAGTTGAAAAGTGCTGCTGAAGTTTTTAGATAATGTATATTTGTCAAGGGGACATGAGAGCCAGATTAAATACATTTCTATTGGCCAATTTATTACAGGTTGAGCATCAGAATTAATAATATTATTAGGCTTGGCACAGTGGTGCACATTTGTAATCACAGTGGCTTGGAAGGCTGAAGCAGAAGGATCCTAAGTTTAAGCCAGCCTCAGCAATTTAGCAAGGCCCTAAGCAACTTAGTGAGACCCTACCTCTAAAATAAAAAATGAAAAGGCTGGGATGTGGCCCAGTGGTTAAGTGCCTCTGGATTCAATCCTCAGTACCAAAAATAAAATATAATAATAACAACAATATTATTATTAGATTATATTCAAATAAAGTAGGAATCCAGGAGTCCATACTGATACATAGTAGTCCTGCCTTATGTGTAGTTTTGCTTTCCATAATTTAAGTTACCCACAGTCACCCTGAAAATACTAAATAGGAAATTCCAGAAATAAACAATATATGTATTTGAAATTTGACTGACTTGATGAAATCCCCATTGTTCTACTTGGCTTAAAAATCATCCCTTTGTCCATTGTGTCCATACTATATATGCTTCCTACTTGTTAGTTACTTAGTGGTCTTCTTGATAATTAGATTAGCTGTCAAGTTATTATAGTACTTGCATAACCCTGACGTAGTAACTTGATGCTACATCACAGTGCCCACATCATTCATTTCACTTCATCTCATTGTGTAGGTATTGTATCATCTCATTGTTGCAAGAGGAAGGATGAGTTCAGTAACATATTTTGAGTGACAGAGATAATCTCTTACTGGGCCTAATTTTTTAATTAAATTTTACCATAGGGTAGGTATATATATGAAAAAATCATTTACTGGGTATATGTAGGATTCAAAACTATCTGCAATTTCAGTTATCCCCTGGGAATTGTGGAACATGTCCCTACAGATTAAGTGGGAAGTACTGTAAATAAATAAGTAACAAGGGAGAAGAGAAAAGCTCGTTCCTAGTAAAACATCAACTAATAAACATAGAAGAAATGTTGAAGTTAGAAAACTCACCATTTTGTAATCATCACAGTAATAATTGATTAAGGCAAGAATCTTCTATGGGTACTAAACTTAGTGGGACAGTATTAACCAGAAACAAGATGTTTATGTTACATAGAGTATCTCTCCATAATTAATTATGAAAGTTAAAACAATTGATCCTCATAATTCACAGATTATGTATTTGTGGATTCACCCATACACTGGGTAGAGCCTAAGGACAAATGCATGCTAGGGAAGCACTCTCACTGAGCCACATTCCTAGCCCAAGCTTCAATTTTAAAAGGAAAAAAAAAAAAAAAAAAGCCTTGCACGATGGCTCATGCCTGTAATCCCAGCGGCTCTGGAGGCAGGAGGATTGTGAGTTCAAAGGCAGCCTTAGCAAAAGTGAGGCCCTAAGCAACTCAGTGAGACCCTGTCTCTAAATAAAATACAAAATACGGATAGGGATGGAGATGTGGCTCAGTGGTTAAGTGCCCCTCGGTTCAATCCCTGGCACCCCCCAAAAAAGAAAAAGTTTGCTGTATTATGTATACTATAAAGCTTTCCTTTTAACCACTTTTTTGACTTGCAGTCCTCCTGCCTCAGCCTCCCAAGACACTGGGAGGCCTTTTAAACACTTAACTGTGTAGTTCAAGCATGTTTATCAAATTCCCAGTGTTACACAGCTGTCATCACAATCTGTTTCCAGAGCTGTTTTATTATCCCACATTTTTTTTACCATTTTCCTTTCCCCATAGCCCCGTAACTACTAATCTTGAATTTGCCTATTGTAGATATTTCATTTGGGTGAAATTATGCAATATTTGTCTTTTGTGTCTGATTTGTTTCACTTAGCATGTTTTCAAAGTTCTTTCACATGGCAGCATGTTTCAGAACTTTAGTCCTTTTTATGGCTGAATAACACTCTATGTATATATCATATTTGTCCCATGATCTGTTAATGGACATTGGATTGTTTCTACCTTTTATCTAATGTGAGCAATACTACAGTAAACATAGTGCTTGCGTCTCAGCTTTCAGTTCTTTGGGGAGTTGAGGGGGGGATAATGGGAATTGAACTCAGGGACACTTGACCACTGAGCCACATCCCCAGCCCCTGTTTTGTATTTTACTTACAGACAGGGTCTCACTGAGTTGCTTAGGGGCTAGCTTTTGCTGAAGCTGACTTTGAACTCTTGATCCTCCTGTCTCAGCCTCCTGAGCTACTGGGATTATAGGCATGCCCCACAGTGCCCGGCTCAGTTTTCAGTTCTTTTGCTTATACTCCCAGGTTAGATGGTATTCCTATATTTAGTTATTTAAGGAAAATCCAGGACCTCATGCATGCTAGGGAAGTACTCCACCACTGAACTACACATCCAGCCTTTTAAATTTTATTTTGAGACAGCATCTTCCTAAGTTACTCTGGCTGGCCTTGAATTTGTGACCCTCCTACTTCAACCACCTGAGTAAATGGGATCACTGGCATACTATTTTGTTATTGTAATTAGCAATAAAATTGTTATAACTAATGCAGTAGAACAGTAAATTCAGTTGCATACACACCCAATGCCTTTTTCAATAAGTTTTTTTTTTTTTAATAGTAAAAAATCTCATATGATGCTTATCTGTTATTCCAGTATGTCTCTGGTACATAACCAAATAGCAGCCCTCTTAACTACATAACTTTAAAGGTAATCTAGGGGGAAAATGGATGATAAGAAGTTCATTTGCCAAAATATGCTTATTTTAAGTTTTGATTTTGTCTTGGTTTTTTCTTTTATGGGGGCTCTCACTATGCTCCCCAGACTGGTCTGAGCTCCTGGGCTTTAGTGGTTCTCCTGTCTTGCCTCCCATGTATCTGGGACTACAGTACCATGCCACCACAACTTTAATTTTTATCCAGGTTTCTTTCAACTTGGAAATTTATATCAGGAGTAACAAACTCAAGCCTACCAAGGCAAGTGACATAAATTATCCTGTTGGAACAAGAAACTAAACTATTAATTCACATGTTAAAGAACACAGAAACCCTTGGCTCTGGTCAGTTATTGCTGTGTGCCAGGTATCACAACTTTCAAGTATTTCAGAGAGGCTCCAAGCTTGGATTTTCATGTGAAAGTGTCCCTTGGGTTACCCTTTTGTTGGTTTATTTCCCGGAGTTGGGAGTTATCTCTGTATGACCTAGGCTAGCCTTAAACTTGCATTTCTCCTGCCTGTTCTTCCTAAGTAGCTTGGATTGTAGGCAAACGCAGTGGCACTTGGTGAAAGAATTAAAAAATTTAAACATTGTCAGTTAATTTAAAAATTGTCTAGGGGAAAGAATAGAAGTTCATTGGATTAGACAAAGGGGAATGAAGGGAAAGGAAGGGGGATGGGAATAGTAGATTGAATCAGATGTAACTTTCCTGTGTTCATGTATGAATATACAACCAGTGTGACTCCACATCATGTACAGATACAAGAATGGGAAGTTATACTCCCTTTATAATATGTCAAAATACATTCTACTCTCATGTATATCTAAAATTAGCAGGAAGAAAAAAAGAATATTTGCCTAGCATGCCCCTGGGTTTGACCCCTAGTATTGTAAAAAATAAAATAAATGAATTCATAATTTTTTTTAAAGTGGTGAACACTAATGTGGACCATTTCTATTCAGGATGAACAGAATATGTCTGAAGGCTATCCGAATCTGACTATTCCCACCTCTCTCTCCCTGCTCTGTTTAAAATGTTGAAATTGAAAAGTAGTCTCCCCTCCCCACCAAGTTATTTTTATATATATTTTTTGATGGATCTTTATTTATATGTGGTGCTGAGAATCAAACTCAGTGCTTTATATATGCTAGGCAAGTGCACTACCACTAAGCCACAACCCTAGCCCTGAAAAGTAGTCTTAACCCCATGAAATCATAATCATAGTGGCTTGGTAAATTTTGATAAGTCCATATAGTAGAAACTTTATAAACCATAAACATTCAGGAAGAACTCAGTTTATGCAGTAAATACAAATAGATAATAACATCACCAAAATGTTGACTTTTTATCTTTTTTTTTTTGGTACCAGGAATTGAACCCAGGGGCACCTAACCACTGACCAGCCTTTTTATTTTTTATTTTGAGACACATTATGACTATGTTGCTTAGGGCCTCACTAATTTTTGCTATGGCCGACTTCAAATTAGCAGCTCTTGCCTTGCCCTCCCAGATTTATGGGATTATAGGTGTGTGCCACTCTGCCTAGCTTATATCCAGGTTTTTAACAAGTAGGTATTGCTTTTCTATAAAGAACAAATTTTTTAAAAATACATTGTGTATCCAGGTATGGTTGGCCTATGCTTGTAATTTTCAGTTACTTGGGAGGTTGAAACAGGAGGATCACAAGTTCAAGACTCAGCCTCAGCAATTTAGGAAGACCTAAAAAATAAACCAGGTTGAGCTGAGGCTGTAGCTCAGTGGCAGAGCGCTTGCCTAGCATGTGTGAAACACTGGGTTCCATCCTCAGCACCACATAAAAATAAGCAAAATAAAGACATTCTATCCATGTACAGCTAGTATACAGAAAGTATAAACAAACAAACGAATGAATAAACCAGGTTGGGGCTGGGTTGTAGAGCACTGGTAGAGCACTTGCCTAGCATGCATGAGGCATGGGTTTGATCCTCAGCATCACATAATAAATGAATGAATAAATGAATGCATAAAAATACATACATATATACATAAACAAACCTGGTTGGTGACCCATGTCTGAGTCAAGAGGATCACAAATTTGAAGCTAGTCTGAGCAATTTAGTGAGATCCTGACTCAAAATTAAATAAATAAGCAAATAAATAGGACTGGGTATTTAGTTCAGCAGTAAAAGCAAGCCTGAGCTCAATCCCCAATGCAGTGGGGGTCCATGGAATACATTATGTGGCAGATATTTTGCATTCTTTTTTATTCAAAGTTAAGGTAATACGATTCTGTTACGTTAAAGTAACATATGATTAGTTTGGGTTTTGCTTTGTTTTCAATGTAGTTATTTTCTTTTCCTTTTTAGAGATGCTAACTTTGTTTTTCTTTGACTTTGTTTTTATTCTTCTCTGATGACTTCCAAAAGAACAACAAAACCAACTCCTCATCTAGATGGGTAAAAATTCATTTAACTATTTTATAACCTACTTTAAATTAATGTTAAAATAAGAAGCTTTTATTTAGTCATCTTTATTTGACTCTTTAGGCATCATGTTGTTTTTGGGCAAGTGATTTCTGGCCAAGAAGTTGTAAGAGAGATAGAAAACCAGAAAACAGATGCAGCTAGCAAACCATTTGCTGAAGTACGGATACTCAGTTGTGGAGAGCTAATTCCCAAATCCAAAGGTAAGAACAGTACATATTTCAAGGAATTCTTGCTAATATAAAATAGACACTCTAAATAGTTGGTTTGAAATTCATACTAAAGTTGACATAAATGTGAGGTGTTTGTGTATTTTTTTATTTTTGTACTTGGATTGAACCCAAGGGTGTTTTCCCCTCTGAGCTATAGTCCCAGTTTGCAGTCCTCCTTCCTCAGCCTCCATAGTCATTGTAATTACAGGCATGAACCATCTTGCCAGACTTCTAATTTTTTTTTAATGACAAAAATTATGTATATCATGCACAATGTTATGCTTTGAAATATGTATATGTTGTAGTTTTTTGTGTGTGTGGATTGCATAATTGAGCTAATCACATTACCTTTTTTGATGTGTATGTGCACGCACACATGCTTGCACATGCATGGTGATAAGCTTAAAATCTAGGTAGTGATTTTTTTAAGAATACAGTCATTCCTTCTTCTCACCCCTATACTGGGTATTGAACCCAGGACTTGCCACATACGAGGCAAGTTCTCTACCACTGAGCTACAGCTCAGACCTTTTTAAATTTTATTTTGAGATGGGGTTTTACTCAGTTACCCAGGCTGGTCTTGAATTTGCAGTCCTTCTACCTCAGCCTCTAAGTAGTTTTTTTTATTCTTGTTTGTTTGTTTTTCTTTTTTTGTTTACCACTGAGCTACAGCCTCAGCCCCTTGTTGTTGATTTTTGAAACAGGATTACTCAGGGTGACCTCAAACTTAAGATATTTCTGCCTTTCTCAGCCTCCAGAGTAGGCATATGCCACAGTTCTCAGTTTATAGTCGTTATTAACTGTTCTCACCATGTTGTACAGTAGATTTCTTGAATTTATTCCTTCTAACTAAAATTTTGTATCCTTTGATCAACATCCTCTCCGAATATACTCTCAACCTTCCTCTTCAGATCCCTGGTGAGACTACCAGTCAGTTCCACTCTCTATTTCTGTGAATTTATCTTTTTTAGAATCCATATGTAAATGAAATTATTCGGTATTTGTCTTTTTATGGGTAGCTTATTTCACCTAATAGATTAGGTGTAGATTTGTAGATTTATCCATGTTGCCACAAATGATAGGATATCCCTTTCTTTTGGGTACCAGGGATTGAACTTGGGGACTCTCAACCACTGAGCCACATCCCCCTCCCTATTTTGTATTTTTATTTAAAGACAGGGTCTCAGTGAGGTGCTTAGGGCCGCTGGTATTACAGGTGTATGCCACTACTCCCAGCCAGGATATTCTTTTTTAAGGCTTAATAGAATTCCATTGTGTGTGGGGTTTGTTTCGGTGTGTGTGACATTTATTATTCTATTTATCCATTGAGGGACACTTAGATTGATTCTGTATCTTAACAATTGAAAATAACACAATGGTAGTGCAGACATCACTTCAACATACTGGTTTAATTTCCTTTGGGTATATATATCTAGTAGTGGGATTGCTGGATCATACGGTCGTTTTATTTTTAATCTTGGTTGTTTTTTCCCCCCTAGACTGGGGATTGTATCCATAAGTGCTTTACTACTGGGCTATTCCCCTGTCTCTTTTTTTATTTTGAGATAGGGTCTTGATAACGTTGCTCAGGCTAGCCTTGAACTTGCAACGCTTCTGCCTCAGTTTCCTAAGCACCTGGGATTATAGGTGTGCAACACCATACCCAGCTATTTTTAATTTTTTGAGGAACCTCCATGCTGTTTTACATAATGCTGTTCTAATTTACATTCCCACCAACAGTATGCAGAATGTTCCCTTTTCTCCGTATCTTCACCAACACTTAACCTTTTGTTATATTCTTAAGAGCTGTTCTAACAGGTATGAGATGATATTTCATTGTGGTTTTAATTTTCATTTCTCTCCTTATTAGTGTTGTTGAATATGTCTTACTTTGAAAAATGTGCAGGTCCTTGGTCCATTCTTTTTTTTTTCCCTGAACCATTTTTAAAAATCAGGTTATTTTCTTGCTACTGAGTTGCTTGAGTTCCTTATATTTTCAGTAATAACCCCTTATCAGATGCGTGGTTTGCAAGTATTTTGTCCTATTCCATTTATTGTGTCTTGATTCTTGATTATTTCCTTGATTATGCAAAAGCTTCTTTTTTTAAAAAAATACTTTTTAGTTTTTGGTAGACTTTATTTTATTTACTTGTTTATATGTGATGCTGAGAATTGAACTCAGTGCCTCACTCATGCTAGGTAAGCACTTTACCACTGAGCTATAACACTAGCTCCTGTGCAGAAGCTTTTTAATTTGATGTGAATCCCATTCATGTTTTCAGCTTTGCTGCCTGTGCTTTTGGGGTCATATCCAAAAAAATTGTTTCAAGTTTTTAATCCATTTCAAGTTAATTTTTTGTGTATATTGTGGGATAAAAGTCTAATTCCATTCTTCTACATGTGAATATGCAGTTATCCTAACCCCATTTTTATTGTCTTAGAGAGTGCTGGGGATTCCCCAACACTTCTCACATTGTAAGTACGCATTTTATACGCTGGAACTACTCCTGCAGTTATCCCCATTTATTGAAAAGACTGTTCTTTCTGTATTATAATTCTTGACATTTTTGTATTTTCTTTCTTTTTTTTTTTCTTTTTATTGATACTAGAGATTGAACCCAAGGGCACTTAACCATTAAGCCACATCCCTTACCCCTGCTTTTTAATTTTTTTTATTTTGAAATAGGGTCTTGCTAAGGGCTTTGCTAAGTTGCTGAAGCTGTCTTTCAACTTGTGATCCTCCTGCCTCAGCCTCCCAAGCCACTAGGATTACAGGAGTACACAACTGTGCCTGGCAGCATTTTTTTTTTTTTTTTTTAATTTTTCAAGTGTTTATCCTGCTTTTTACTTTGTTCATTAAACATGGAACCATTTACATTTTTGCTCATTTATTTGTAATAATTTACCCTTTTGCTTCCACTTGGTATTTTTTTTTTTAAAACTGAAGTTGTCTAAAGAGCATTTCTCTTCTAGAGGAAGAGAAAATGGGTGGGATAGGATGGCAATTGATGAGAATAAGATAGATTAAGAAACTGACAGAATAAATTCTTTCCCTTCATGTGTTGCTTACGTTCAGAAACATCCTGCATGTTTTAAAACTTCTCTTAGTTGACTAGACCAGACCATTTGAAGCTAATATGAAGCTAATTTGATGTGATGTTATCTGAAATGGTAAGAACTTTTTTTTTTTTTTTTAATGTGGTGCTAGGGATAGAACTCAGTGCCTCATGCATGCTAGCCAAGCACTCTCCCACAGAACCACAACCCCAGCCCAAGAACTTTGTTTTGAGTGAACATTTTGTCTCTATAATCTGAGAGATGTGACTGCTTCTATGAATTACAAATATTGGGTCTGATGCTCTGAGAGTAACAGAATGAGATTACCTTCAAACTAGTATAGAGAATAATAAAACATTAAACTGATTCTGTTCTTACTAATCTAGGGAGTAATAAAAGCCTATGTCACTAATTCATTAAAGTTTAAATGTCTTTAACATGCCTTTCAGAATTGCTTGAAGAAGAACATTTGGTTTCTCACCTTTTAGGTCTACTCATTTGCTGTGTAATATTTAGAAATATACACATTTTGTGTTGTTTTAATTTTAAGAGATCCTAGGTGGGTGTAGAGAACTAAAATGCTTATTTTAAATTTTCTGTCTCTGTATTCTATCTTGATTTTGATGATTTCATGTTTTATCCATTGCATATTAAATAGATTACTATTAACATATTGTAGGAGTATAATGAGACTATGTAAAATGATTTTTGTTGTAAATGAAACTTGATTTATATTCTTAGTAACAAATAGGAATAATGTCTGCATTTTTTGGATAAAGAATGAAGTGCTTTGAGAATTGAGAGGTGCTATATAAATCATTTATATTTTTTTAAATTAATAAAAACAATCTCTATTAGTGTTGATAAATTTTAGACCCTGAACCTACTGATGTTTGATTCTTCAGAATATTGTTAATTCAACTATAATATTTTGGCTTAAGGCACTACTTATTTTCACATCATATAGAAAAATCTTGTATTCTGTATTTGACATTATTTTTCTTATATTTTATGGTCTTTCAGGTCTCTTGTATTAAGATCTATTCTCTTCTTATAAAAGCTAATGAGATTCTATGTGGCTTATATAGAAAGAGAATGAGTTAGTAAAACTCACATTTGAAACCATAAACACTAATCATAATCTCTAATTAATTTAGTATTAAGAATGTTTTGGTATTAAGAGGTCAGGTATTTCCCTGTAGTATGTGTGACTCTTTATATATTATTCCTGGCATCTTTATAATGCATTGTCACCTGAAGGAATACTAGTTTTTCTATGCCATTGTGGCCAGTTGGTTCTGAAAATTGATGTAGCATCCTACTCTGTGTCACTTAAACCCCTGGTAAATTAGCATACCTTGTCCTTACCTGTTCCCTTACACAGGGAAGATTCTGCCCCCTTTTTAGTACCTGTCTTTTCAGGAGTTTCTACAAAGGTCAGATTTGTTTTGAGTCTGAATTCTCATGCCTAGTGTGTTCTGTATCACACTGGAAAGAAGTAAAGTGTTTTTTTGTTTATTTTGTTTTATGGTGGTGAGAATCGAACCCAGTGCCTTACACATGCTAGCAAGTGCTCCCTACCACTGAGCTACAACCCCAACCCAGAGGTAAAGATCTTCACTTAAGATCATAGTTTGACACCAGTTATCCCATGGTCTTTCAACTACCATTCAGAACATTTCTTAGAATGAATTTAGCCATACATCTGTGTAATCTTTGTTTAGATAGAACTTATATCCAACTTTTAAGTTTGGCTTCCTTACAAGAATTTTAATCAAAAACAATCAAAAAGCCAGGTGTGGTGCATGCCAGTTACTTGGGAGGCTAAGGCAGGAGGATCTAAAGTTCAGGGCCAGCCTCAGCAACTTAGAGAGACCCTGTCTCAACATAAAAAAAGAGTAGGGGATGTGGCTCAGTGGTAAAGTACCTCTTGA